TCTTTAGTCAAGTTTTGATTACTCATTCATTGATTCAAGAAACAGTTGTTGAGCCCCTACCATGTGGGAACAGAACAAGAACCTGCAGGGAAAGAGGGAGAGAAAGGCAAGTAAAGAGGCAAACACAAACATGTACAAGAATACTCAACCCAATCTTTAGAGACGAAGAAAATCTGAACAAAAGTAATGATATCCAAGCTGAGATCTAAAGGAAAAGGGGAGAGTGAACAGGTTATAGCAGAAGAACAGTGTTCCAAACAATGGGAACATCATGGTCAACAACCTCAGAAGTGAGAAAGAGCATAGAAAATTTAGGAAATACAAGTAATTCAGGTCAATGAATACATTATGCTTTATGTCTTTCTGCTCAAACTCTCTACACTGTTAAGCTTAAACTGGCTATGAAAATAAACTGTTTATGTACTTGACTTCTAGGAGGTTCTCTTCCTATGCCTTTAACAATTCCTTTTCAAGGAAAGAACACTTCTGAACTCATTTTATGAAGCTGGTATCACCCTGATACCAAAGCCAGACAAAGACTCAAAGGAAACAAAATTTCAGACAATGTCCCTGATAAACACTGATGTAAAAATTATCAATAAAATACTGGCAAATTGCATATAAAAACATATTTAAAAGATAGTGTACCATGATCAAGTGAGGTTCATCCCAGGGATCAAGTTTAGTTCAATATATGGAAATCAATAAACACAGTTGACACATCAATAAACTTAAAGACAAGAATCACATGATTATCTCAAGAGATGCAGAAAAACATTCAAAAAAATTGAGAATCCATTCATGCTCAAAACACTAGAAAAACTTGGCATAGTAGAAACATAACTCAACATTGTAAAAGCTGTATATGCTAAACCCAAGACCAACATCATTCTAAATGCAGAAAATTTGAAATCATTCCCTCTAAAAACTGGATTAAGAGGGAATTCATGTCTCCACCACCACCATCACCCTGTGATTCAACATAGTCCTGGAAACTCTAGTCAGAGCAATCAGAAAAAAAGAAAGAAACCAAAGGGATATGAATGGGAAAAGAAGAACTCAAAATACTCCTACTTGCCAAGGACATGATTCTATATTTAGAACACCCAAAAAAACTCTACAAGAAAGATCATAGAACTTGTAAATGAACTCATCAAAGTAGCAGGGTTTAAAATCAAAACCAATAAGTCAATTGCATTTCTATACACCAAGGATATATCAGCTGAAAGAGAAATCAGGAAAACTATCCCCTTTATAATAGCCTCAAACATATAATATATTTGTGAATCAACCTAACAAAAGAGGTGTAAGACCTCTATAATGAAAACTACAGAACACTAAAGAAAGAAACTGAAGAAGACTTCAGATAATGGAAATATCTCCCCATGTTCCTGGATAGGCAGAATCAATGTTATCAAAATGGCCATACTGTCAAAAGTGCTATGCAGATTTAAGGCAATTCCTATAAAGATTCCAATGATGTTCTTCACAGGAATAGAAAAAGCAATCATGAAATTCTTTTGGAAAAATAACAGGCTCAGAATAGCATGCTTAGCCAAAAAATGATGCAGGAGGCACCACAATACCAGAACTTATATTATACTACAGGGCTATAATAACAAAAACAGCATGGTATTGGCACAAAAACAGGCATGAAGACCAACAGAACAGAATGGAACACACAGAGACAAACCCACCTAAATACAATTATCTCATACTAGACAAAAGCACAACAAACATACATTGGAGAGAAGATAGCCTCTTCAACAAATGGTGCTGGGAAAAATGGAAATCCAGACATAGTAAAATGAAATTGAACCCTTATCTTTCACCCAACACAAAACTCAGTTCAAACTGGATTAAGGACCCAGGCATTAGACCAGAGACCCTGTGCCTACTAGAAGAAAAATATAGACCCAACACTCCATCATGTAGACTTAGGAACCTAATTCCTCAATAAGACTCCTAAAGCACAAGAAGTAAAATCAAGAATCAATAAATGGGATGGTATCAAACTAAAAAGCTTCTTCACAGCAAAGGAAACAATTGATAACATGTACAGAGATCCTACAGACTGGGAGAAAATCTTCACCACCAGTACCTCAGATACGGCATAATTTCCGGGATATACAAAGAACTCAAAAAACGTAACACCAAAAAAAAAGAAGAAGAAGAATCCAATCAATAAACAGGCTAAGGAACTGAGAAGTACTTTATAGAAGAAGAAATACAAATGCCCAATAAATATATTAAAAATGCTCAACATCTTAAGCAATTGGAGAAATGCAAATTAAAACAGTGTACACTGAGATTCCATCTCACTCTAGTCAAAATGGCAATTATAAAGAATACAAGTAACAATAAATGTTGGCAAAGATATGGGGAGAAATGTACTCTCATACATTGTTGGTGGTACTGCAAATTGGTGCAACCACTATGGAAGTCAGTATGAATATTCCTTACAAAACTTGGAATGGAACCACCATTAGACCCAATTATCCCACTTCTTGGTCTATACCCAAAGGACTTTAAAACAGCATATAACAGTGACACAGCCACATCCATGTTTACAGAAGCTCAACTCACAATACCCAAGCTAGGTGTCCTTCAAAGGATGAATGGATAAAGAAAATGTGACATACATACACACTGGAATGTTACTCACCATAAAGAAGAATGAAATTATGGTATTTGCCTGTAAATGGATGGAATTGGAGAATAACATGCTAAGTGAAATAAGCCAAGCCCCAAAAAACAGAGGCCAAATGTTCTCTCTGATTTGTGAATGCAAACCCAAAACAAGGGAAGTAGGGGAGGGGAATAATAGAAATCCACTGGATTAGACAAAGGGAAATGAAAGGAAGGGAGGAATAGGGGAATAGGAAATACAGTAGAATTAATGGGTCATAATTTTCCGAGCCTTGAATTTGTGTTCACAACCAGAGTAACTCCACCTCATGTACAACCACAAAAGTGGGATCCTAAATAGAATAAGTTATACTCTATGTATGTATATTCTGCCAAAATACATTCTACTGTCATGTATAACTAAAAGAACAAATAAAAAAAGAACATGGAAGATATAAACCAAAGCCACATAGTTAAAACCATTTCTAATTTTTAATGAGAAATATAAAATCTCTTGAGCATATGTTGGGGAAAAATTCCTTTTCAACCTTCTCTACCGTGTCCTAGTTATCATCTACACTTCTAGTCACTGGAGTGAATTGACCTCAACTTCAAGTACTGTCCTTTTTCTTCTGCACTCACTCTCAAAAGATTGCACCCAGAGATCACATTTGCTCACAACTACCAAATATTCCATCTTCTCTGAACTCTTGACTCTTAGTTCCAATCCTTTGCTTCACTTCCCCACTTGACTATCTAACAGACATCTCAAAGATAAATCCAAAACCTGACTCTTGACATTTTCCCCACAAATTTTTTTTCCTGGTTGTTCATCTTAGTAAATAGTAATTTTGTTCTTCTAACTGCTCAGGGAAAAATCTTAACATCATCCTTAACCCTACTCTTCCTCTGATACTCACCTATAATCCATTTGCAAATCCTATCCATTTTAACCTGAAAACATTCAGAATCCTATCACTCTGCAACTGCCTGCACCACTACCACTCTAATTCAAGCCATTGTCATCTCTAGCCTGGTACTTTCCAACAGCTTCATAACTGTGCTTCTGCTTCTGCCTTTGTTCTCTACATCCATTCTCAATACAGTAGCTAGAGATATCCTTTTTAAAATATGTCAGATCATATCATTCTTCTGCTCAACCCTCTTTTAGCTTACAATGTAACTCAGGGTAAAGGCCAAATTCCTTAAAAGTAGCCCATGAGTTTTGTTTTGTTTTGTTTTGTTTTTATGATCTTGCTAATGAATATATCCCTGGTTTTCTTCTTATGACATTCCCCCTTACTCATTCTGATTCAACCATACTGACATAGCTGGTCCTCAAACGTAGTCAGTTCCGTCTTTCAAATATTTAAATGGTACACTCTTTTACTTTATTCAAGTCTCTGCTCAAATGTCAGCTCCTCAATGAAGCCTTCTCTCTATTCCCAGTATAAAACATCTCCTCTTTGCCCCATCCCTCTTGTCCCGTAGCCCTTATCTGTGTTAAACTGAATTAAATAAATATATATTACATATATATTTCCCTCTCCTAGAATATAAATCTTCTAGAGAGCACATGTGTGGTTTCTTACTCTTGCAACCAGAACTATAGAATACTGCCCAGATCATAAGCCTACAATAAATATCTGATAGATAAATAAATAAAAACTAAAAAAACATCATAAATTTTTATGACAAAACTATTAACAAGTTTCTATTTTAAGAGCCACTTAAAATATGAAAAACTAAGTAATACTGTGACTTTTTTCCTTATAATCTGCACACATACACACACACACAAGGTTCACTGGAAAGGCCTTAACAATCAAAAGACTTTATAATACTCTTCTCCTTCCCTTGGTTGGCACTTCCTGATACATTATAGGGATACATTCAGTTTCTATGTTATATTAAAATCAATCAATATTTCACCTATAATTCATCTGTATTAGTTGATAACAGTACTTTGTAAACATTTATAAAACATCAATATAGAAAAATAGCAAATCCATAGGCAGACAATTCAAAGAAGAAATACAAACAGGGCTGGGGATGTGGCTCAAGCGGTAGCGCACTTGCCTGGCATGCATGTGGCCCAGGTTCCATCCTCAGCACCACATACAAACAAAGATGTTGTGTCTGCCAATAACTAAAAAATAAATATTAAAAAAAGAAATACAAACAGTAGATAAATATATGAAAATGTTCATTTAAGTTAATATTTCCTTAATGTTTAATAGTCTAAATGGCTTAGGGAGAGGGAAAGCAGAATCGCTTAAGAAAACCAATACCTGCAAGAAGTTTCTTATAGAAGCAAGAAAATGAAAAAATTGAAAAACTTACTCCCTAGCAAGGGTATGGGATTGAACTACCTGTGATGGAGCAATAGATGATGTGAGGAGCAATCTTGTCTATATCTTCATACCCCAGGCCCATTGTGGACAGTTTTCCAGGGACATAGTTTTCCACAAATACATCACAAACAGCTGCAAGCTGAAGGAAGAGGTAAAGATGAATCAGACTTCTTAAGGGACTTCCAAATTGTAACAACTTTCCCACATAATAGGACTTTAATTTCAACAAACACAATTGATTCTTAATTTGCAATAGTCCATAAAAAAATAGAGAATAGATAAAGTAGATTCGTATAAACATGAAAAGCCATAATCAACTATTTGAAGTATTTGTCAGTAAAATAATAGCTATTAACATGATATTAAGTAGTTTTTACATCCTTCAAATGTAAGAAATATTTAGGCTAAGTGATCTGTCTAAATATGTAATAAGAAGTATAGGTAGCCAGGCACAGTGGCACATGCCTGTAATCCCAGTGGCTCAGGAGGCTGAGGCTGAAGGATTGTGAGTTCAAAGCCAGCCTCAGCAATTTAGCAAGGCCCAAGCAATTTAGCAAGATCCTGTCTCAAAAAAAAAATTAAATGGGCTAGGGATGTGGCTGAGAGGTTAAGTGCCTATGGGTTCACTTCCTGGTTTAAAAAAAAAAAAGAGTATATATATATATATACACATACACACACACACACATACACATACACACTCTATTCAATATAGTCCTTGAAAATCTAGCCAGAACAATCAGGCAAAAGAAGGAAATTTAAAAAGATACAAATTAAAAAAGAAGTTAAATAATCTGTTTTGCTAATGACATGATCTTTCATTTAGAAGACCCCAAAAAATCTACCAGAAGATTTACAGAGCTGATAAAGTTAGTTAAGTAGCAGAATATACGAGAAACATAGATAAATCAATCACTTTTCTAAACTCCAATAATGAATCTGATAAGAAATAAATTAGGCAAACTATCATATTCATAATAACATCAAAAAATAAAATAAAATCTTTGGGATTTGATACAACAAAGCAGTGAAGGACCTTTACAATGGAAACTATGGAACTCTGAAGAAAGAAATTGAAGACCTTAGAAGATAAAAAGGCCTCCTATGTTCTTGAATAGGCAAAACTAATATTATCAAATGGCCATATTACCAAAAGTGCTATACAGATTTAATGCAATCCTCATCAAAATACCAATGACATTCTTCACGGAACTAGAAAATGTTCTAAAATTCACTTGGAAACATAAAAGGTCCAGAATAGCCACAGCAATCCTGAGCAAGAGGAGCAATGCTGAAGGCATCACAATACTGAACCTCAAATTATATTACAGAGCTGTAGTAATGAAAACAGCATGGTACTGGTACTAAAACAGTCATGAAGACTGATGGAATAGAAGACACAGAGACAAATCCACATAGATGCAGACCTCTGATACTTGACAAAGGTGCCCAAAACTTATGTTGAAAAAAAGAGCCTTTTCAACAAATGGTGCTGGAAACTTGTCCCTTATCTCTCACCCTGCACACATCAATTCAAAGTGGATCAAAAACCTAAGAATTAGACCAGAAATTCTGCAACTGTTAGGAGAAAATATAGGCCCAACATCCCAACATATTGGCACAGGCTTCAACTTTCTTAACAAGACTCCTAATGTATAAGAAGTAAAGCTAAAAATCAGTAAGAGGGATGGCATCAAATTAAAAAGCTTCTACAAAGCAAAGGAAACAAGTAAGAGTGTGAAGAGAGAGCCTACAGAATGGGAAAAGATCTTTGTTACCTGTTTCTCAGATAGTGCATTAATATCCTGAATAAAAAAGAAGTTAAAAAACACCAAAAAATAATAATGCATTAATAAATGGGCAAAAGAACTAAACAGACACTTCTCAAAAGAAGAAATACAAATGGCTAATAAATATATGAAAAAAGTTCCAATTTCTCCAGCAAATCTAAGAAATGCAAATCAGAACTACATTGAGATTTTATCTTATTCCAATCAGAATGGCAATTATCAAGAATACAAATAATCTGGGTACAGTGGTGCACGCCCATAATCCCAGCAGCTTGGGGGGCTGAGACAAGAGGATAACAAGTTCCAGGCCAGCCACAGCAATTTAGTAAGACCCTAAGCAAAATAGTGAGACCTTGTCTGAAAATAAAAAATAAAAAGGACTAGACATGTAGCTCAGTGGTACAGTACCCCTGAGTTAAATTCTCAGCATAAAAAAAAGAATACAAATAATAATAGATGTTGGTAGGGATGAGAGAGAAAAGGTACAGTCATACATTGTTGATGAGACTGCAAATTAGTGCCACTACTATGAAAAGCAGAAAATGAGGAGAAATGGATAAAACTGGAGACCATCATGCTAAGTGAAATCATCCAGACACACTAAGTCAAAGATCAAATGTTTTCTCTGATATACTGAAGTTACTCCAAAATAAGAGGGGGAGGAGTGGTGGAGGGGATTTCATCAAAATAGAAGAGAAATCAGTATAATAGAAAAAGAGTATTCAGATGCTCGGGGTGCTGGATAAGAGAACAGTGGAATGAACCTGACTTAACATTCCTATGTACATATAAGAATATACCACAGCAAATCTCACCTTTATGTATATCCACAAGGCACTAATTTAGAAAAAAAAATTTATAGGGCTGGAGTTGTGGCTCAGGTGGTAGAGCATTCACCTAGCATGCATGAAGCACTGAGATTGATCCTCAGCACCATTCAAAAGTAAAATAAAGATATTATGTCTACCTAAAACTAAAAAATAAATATTTTTTAAAATATCAGTAGAGTATAGGGAAGGGAATTGGAGAGGGAGCAGGGAAGGGAAAGAGAAAGTAAGACTGAGTTAGAGCAAATTATATTCTATGCTTTTATAGTTATGTCAAAACAAATCCTAATATTATATATAACTAAAAAGAACTAATTGAAAATATAAAAAGAAGTATAGGTATATAATAGAATATGCATATATAAAGTTTAGGAAAACATGTTTTGAAACCTTTACCAAAAATAACAAAATACAGTATCTTCACTACTCTCCACTCCTTTTATGTAATATACCTCATTACAATATACCTCATTATAATATACCTCATCACATGCACTTAGTTTACATGTGATTCTGAAATGTCTTCACACTTTTCAGATGCTTTCTTTCCAAAGTTTTAAATGTCTTTTTGAACCATTGTTTTGTTTTGTTTTGTTTTGCAGCCCAATGAACCAGCAACTGTCAGAAACAGAACCTAGATTTTGATTACTAGACAACAGCAAATAGATTTAGAGGACAATCAACCATTGCAAACATTAATCTTATTTTCAAAATCTCAAATGTGACTGTGTACCTTTTAAAATATTTTTTATTTAAAATCATGACAAAAATTGTAGTAGATCACTCAGAGACATTGATTATAATCATTCTAGAATATATGCAGGAGCCTAATAACTATTCAACACAATTTTTTTTTTTTTTGGACTAGGGATAGGCTCAATGATACAGCACTTGCCTAGTATGAACAAGGCCCTGAGTTAAAGCCCCAGCACTGCAAATACATAAATAAATAAAAATTATTATTCCCACATTCACATAGATTTAAATATATTCACATACATACAAATTAACATAATAAGACTCCAGATCAACAGTCAGCAAACTTATCAAGGGTCAAGTAGTGAACATTTTAGGCTTTTCAATCCACACACATTCTCTATCACACATTCTTCTTTATTTTTCTTTAACAATCTTTTGTAATTTTTTATATTGATGCATTAAATTATATATAGTAATAGAACACATTGTTGCATATTTGTGCATGCACACAATATAACTTGGTCAATTTTGTTCTCTGTACCTCCCCTTTCCCTTCCCACCTCCTCCTCGCTCCTCTTCCCCTCCCTCTAGTCTCCCTTCTGTTTTTCTTTAACAGTCTTTAAAAATGTAACATCCAGGGTGCTGGGGATATAGCTCAGTTGGTAGAGTATTTGCCTCACATGCTCAAGACCCTGGGTTCAACCCCTAGCACCGTCAAAAAAAAAAAAGTAACATCCATGAGTGTACAAAAGCAAGCCCAATTTGGCTAACAGACTCTGCCAACCTCTACTTTAGATAGTATAGGTTGAATTAATATAAACTTTGAATGTAAACATGTAAATAATAAAATAATAAATTGTCAATGTGTAACTAAGCTTGGAGATTATAGATGGAAATGACTTGCTTAACAAATTAAGAGGCTGAGAAAATCTTAGGTGCTATCTCAAGGAAAGAAGTTTTCATTCTCCAGAGCTCTTGAAACAGAGGCCCTAGAAACCCAGGTAATTACCTCTAAGGAGAGGAATGATAAAAACATTAAGAATAGAATAAGGCCCTAGATTCAATCCACAGCTGAAGAAGAAATGGTGGGGAGAAGAAGAAAAAGAAGGAGGAGAAAAAGGAAGAACAGGAGAAGGAGAAGAGGGAGGGAGGGGAAGAGAAAGGAGAAAGAAGAGAAGAATAAGGGAGAGAGAGAGAGAGAGAACATGTTAATCAATTTTCTGTAGCTATACCTGAGGCTAGGTACTGTATAAAGAAAAGCATTTTAGCCAGGCACAGTGGTGCATGCCTATAATCCCAGTGACTTGGGAGGCCAAGGCAGAAAGATCACAAGTTTGAGGCCAGTCTCAACAACTTAGCAAAGCTCTAAACAACTTAGTGTCTCAAAATTAAAAGAAATAAAAAGAGTTGGGGATGAAGCTCAATGGCAAATCATCTCTGGATACAATTCCCAGTACCAAAAGGAAAAACAAAGTGGTTTAGGGTTGGTAGTATAGGTCAATGATAGAGAGCTTGCCTCACATGTGCAAGGCCTTGGGTTTGAACGCCACCACAAACACACACACAAGTTATTTTCTTCACGTGTTAAGTTCAAGGGCCTAGTGCCAGTATCAACTCAGCTCTGGTGAAGACCTCATGTCAGACAGCATCACAATGGCAAAATACATGCAATAGAGATCATGGTGAAGTGGGAAGCTAGAGAGCAGGGAAGGAGTCAGGCTTGCTCTTTTATAACACCTCACTTGAGTGAAAACAACCAGCATCCCGCAAGAACAAACTTAATCCCATCTGAGGGCAGCACCTCCACTAGGCTTTGTGTCTTA